GGTACCTCGCATGATGGCAAGGGGCCCCTGAGGTTGTTAATATGCACGCACGCGGGCTCGCCATCGGGCTTCCTCTCCGGCCGGCTACCCAACTGCTCTGGGCGCCCCACATGCGCCTCTCTACGGCCGTGGCCCCTGGAACCATGGGTATTATGTCACTTGGTTTTGTCTTGCCCTTTCGGCATTCCCACCCCACTCGTGGCACCTGCCCGGCGCGTGCCCCCCCCCCCCCCCCTGTGCCTCCGCATTTCTCCGGCGGCAGCACAGTGGCACGAACAGCAGCAAATGGTCCCCCTCCCCCGGATCATGGCCACTGCTGCCTGCCCTTTCCCCCCTCTGCCGATCGACGGCGGGGGGCCAGGGACCAGGGGAACCCGGGGGCCGCCTCTGCGATGATGCGGTTTTTGTGTGGTCCATGGCGCGCCGGCTGCTTCTTCGGCGTGGTAGGTGGCACTTTCCGGCCTTTGCCCCCCTCTCCACCCCCCCGGCACCTGGCGCCCCCCCCCCTCCTCTTTGTTCCCCACTCGCCTCCGTGCCCCACACCCTGCACCCTCCCTCTTCCGCCATTCCCGGCCCCCCCGCTCCATTCCATACAGCGCGCTGAATCCACGCGCACACTCCTTCTCGCCGCATAGCGCCGCGTCCGGCCGTGCCGGTTCGCTCGTTTGGCGCGCCGTCGTATAGCCGCCCCGGCCCGCCTGCATGTGCGCATGCGTGCGCGTGTGTATGTCCACCCCTCTTCCGCACATGGACAGGGGGGGCGGGGGGGGGGCCCCTCCTGGATCTCCCCCTCTCCCTCTCTCTTTTTTCTTGTCCTACCGCCCTCCCTTCGCATCCTCTTTGTTGCCCCCCCCCCCCCCCCCGGGGGGGGGGGCGGCCCCTGCCGGGATCGGCGCCATGCATTCCTCCTTGCTCGAGTGTGTCGTATTTCCGGCGCCAACTTTCGGCCCCCTCCCTTCTCCCAGTCCCCCATCCACCTATCCCCAGTTCCTCTTCTCTTTCTGTCCTTCCTCCTGCCGGTCATCGGCGCCCTCCCTTGCCCTTTCCCCTCCCCCCCTTGCCGCCCTCCGTCTCCCGCCCCGAGAGAGATAGAGCGCCCGCGCGAGGCTTGGTGTGTCCGCACGCACGCGGGTGGTCAAGCGCAGGCGCACGCGCACGCGCACGCGCACGCACATCCCCGCTCCCCGCTCTCCCCCGCCCCGTTGCCCTCCAGGCACACATCCACCCGCACCCGGGCGCCTCTTCCACATGACGGTCGAGCGCTTTGCCGGCGAGCCGGCGCCTCTGCGGGCTGGCCTGCTGCCGGCCCCGGGCTCCCCCTGCCAGCCGACAGCGGCCGACTCCTGGTCGGTGGCCGGGCATGCCTGGCGCTGTGATCGGTGCGGGTCCCCCTGTCTCGGGCCCGGTGGGGAGCTTCTCCCCTCGCCGGAGCCGGCGGCGGTCCTGGCCCTGGAGACCGGCTCGGAACGTGCCACAGTCACCACCAAGCTGCGCCTCCTCCGGGCCCGGTGCCGCCAGAAGATCGATCGCAAACTGCGCGGCATCAGCACCTCGGTGCCGGCCGGGCCCCTCACCGGCGACGAGCTCCTCCTCTCGGCGGCGGGGGCCAACAGTCCGCCGGCCGGTCCGGGGGCCAGCCCCGCCTCGCCGGCCAGCGCCTGGCCCCTGCTGCTTGCCACCTCCACCCGGCCCTCGTCGCCCTTCCTGCCGCCCTGCACCCTGCACGGGGCGGAGGTGGCCGGCCCCGCGCTGGCGGCGTCGACCGAGTCGCGCCCCTGTCCCTCGCCGGCTTTTGGAGCCGAGGCTTCAGTCACAGTGTTGTCCTGCCCGCCCCTGGCCTTGGGTACCCCCCCTCCCTTCGTCCTTCTCAGCCATATTCTCTCTCTCTCTCTCTCTCTCTCTCCCCCCCCCCCCCCCCCCCCCCCCCCCCCCCCCCCCCCCCCCCCCCCCCCCCCCCCCCCCCCCCCCCCCCCCCCCGGCCCCCCCGGGGGGGGGGGGGGGGGGGAGGATCGGGATTCCCCTCCCCCTTCCCCTCCCTTCTCTGCCTGCCTTTCCGAGTGTCCCCCCCTGTTCTTGGCCGCCCCCCGCCATGGCGGCTGTCCTCCCCCCCTGGCATTTCCTGCCGCCCCCTGTCTCCTCCCTCCCTCACCTCCTCATCCCCCCTCATCCCCATTCACACCCCCATTCACACCCCCATTCACACCCCCATTCACACCCCCATTCACACCCCCATTCACATCCCCATCCATCGTCGCCAACTCACCCAACGCCCTTCGGCTTCTGTTCCCTCCCACCCGCCCCTCGATATGTCGATCATGCAGAGGCGACCCAGCTACTCCACCCCTCCTCGTCCCCCTCTCCCGAGTCCAGTGGCCCCGCCGACCGCTCATCCGCGTCCTCGGCTTCTCCCGGCGATCCTCCCCCCGGTGTTGCTCAGTCAGGTACGCTCACTGTGCTCCGCAGTCCGCTCCCTCCCCCCCCCCCTCGCACTCACCGCCTTTCCTCCACCTCCCGTGCCCCCCCCCCCTCCTCCCCCCCCCACGCGTCCCTAGGCGTCAGGGCTACACAGTTCCCACAGTCCGCACAGTCGCAGCCCCGTCCGGCCGCTTCTTTGACCGATCTCAGCGACCTCGCACAGTCTTTCGGCTTCACCCTCGACACCCCCGCCGCCGGCCCCGGCCGCCACCGCCGCCGCTGCCCCAGCGCCCCGCTTCCACCGTCGCCGCCGCCGCCGCCGCCGCCGCCGCCGCCGGCGCACGCTGATGAGCCGGGCCCAGTGGCCGCCGAACTCGGCCCCCAACAGTCCTCCCCCCCCCTCTGGGCCAGTTCCCCCTCCCCGGCCGGCACCTGCGACCTAGAGCCTCGGCCCCTTCCACCGGCGCTTCTGCTCCCCTCGGGCCCGTCGCCCCCGGCCGCCGCCGCCGCCGCCGCCGCCGCCGCCGCCTCCTGTGCCTGCTTCTCCCCGAGCCGGCAGTGCCCGACCGCCACCCTCCAAGCCTCCTTCCTCTGGACGCCGGTCATCTGCGCCGAGTGCCTGTCCATCCTCCGGTCCTCGGTCGACGACCCGGTCGATCACCAGCAGCAGCAACACCAGCGCCCCTCGCCGGTGGCCGTGGCTTCCCCTTGTTCCGGGGAGTCCTCCTGTTCTCCGTCCTCTCCGCCCTCCCCGCCGGCTTCCTCCTCCCCGGGCCCGCCGCTCTTTCCGCTGCTGCGCCAGCGGCTGCCCCTGATCTCGCACATCCGTCGGCGATCGGCCAAGTTTGCCCCTCTCGCCTTCACTTCGCCGGCGACCAGCGCGGCGACCTCCCTGCTAGGCAGTCCCCCGGTTACCCCCTCGTTGCGGGCTTCGCCGGTTCTCTCGCCCTTGGCATCGTCGAGCGTCTGCCCCTCGGTCGCCCGGTCGCCCCTCTTCACGCCGGAGCATCTTACCCCGCCGCAGGCGCGCCACCACCCCGCGCCGCCGTCACCGCCGCCCTCCCCGCCACCGCCGCTCTTCCTGGCGTGGGCTGCTCCTCCCCTAGCGGCGTCACCCTCCCCGTCGTCGTCGTCGTCGTCGTCGTCGTCGTCGTCGTC